CGTGGGCATCCGAAATAGCGCAGAGGGTGCAGGACTTCTTCAGAGAGCGGGACAAGGACCGGGCAGGGTTTGTCACCCGCTCGGACATGCAGGTAAGGGATGGGGACATCTTCTCCAGGGCAGCTGGAGACTGGATGATGGGCAAGTTTTTCCCCCTGATTTGCGTTGTTGTTAGAAATTGCAGGAGGAAGATTTCCCGTGCAGCACGGAGGAGCTGGAGCTCATCTTCGATGGGCTGGATGCTGCCGGCACTGGGCGGTTGAGCACCGAGGAGTTCACTGCTGGGCTCTGTAAGTGCCGGTGCTGCTTCCAAGCAGCCCGGGCTGATCCTGGACACTGCTCCGGTGCTTTCCCAGGGGGGAACCTGAAATGGTCCCCTTGCTGGGTGGCACATGATGGCACAAAAAGTGTCCCCATGCCTGGGTCTCAGCCCATGGCTTGCCTGGTGAGGGGTCGTATTTTGCCGAAGCAGCTCGTTGAAGCCATGGGGTGGGAAGAGTCAGGGTTTGGGCTCTGCTGTCGCCCCGGCCGGGCACTGAGGGTTTGGGGTATCTGTCGGCAGCACAGTTCCTGAGGTCCCAAAAAGCTGCCAGGGACCACCGCCGGCGGAAAACAGCATCCCGGAGGGTCCGCTTGGTCCTCCCCAGCCCGGCGTTGGAGGGGGTGGACAGCGAGGAGCGGAGACACTTTGCCACCTTCATGGACCAGCTGGGCACAGACAACATCTCTTCAGAGTAAGCCGCCCTGTTTAGCACCCATGGGTGTCCTGCAGGATGGGTGCAGGAGCTGCCCTAGGCAGAAAGGCTTGGGGCAGGGCAGGGTATTCCCCTCATTGGGTCCCCATGCAGGCAGCGAGCCCAGAAATGGGTTGGGGGTGTCTTTGCCCCAAGCGCAGGAGCAGGGGACAGGATCACGGTCACCCCAATGGTCATCTGTCCCCCAGGACCACGCGTCCTGAACGGCGTGAGCTAAATGACCCAGGATCCCATAGCTGGCCTGACTTTGGGGGTTCTGGGGGGATGCTCACCACAAAACACCCCTCTCCCTGCAGACAGGAGATCTGGCAGCTCTGGGTGAAGCTCCGGCAGGATGAACCCCACCTCCTGGGCAACCTGGAGGACTTTCTTGCCAAGATGAGGCACCGAATCCAAGAAGCCAGGAGCAAGAAGGAGGCTTTGGAGGTGACTCTGAACAAGTGAGTCACCAGGGCAGCAGAGAGGGACGGGGTGGGAAGGATGGGGACAGGGAAGGGGCCCTCTGCTCACCCCAGCTGTGGAGACACACCCAAGGAGGGAGAAACCTGGGTGCTTTCAGCATCTCCATCAGTGGCTGGAGCAGAGGTTTCACTGGGAGCCGAAGTTTGGGGTCGGGCTCCCTCTACAGTCACGCACAGGATGGCAAAAGTGCCGGACCCAGACTGCTGGACACATCCTTGTTGGGTGAACGCCTCTGGGCAAACCCGGCTGCAGCCTGCAGGTCCTGTGGGCAACGTGGGGTCCCAGGGACCTGCATCCACTGCAGCAGGGTCTGACCACCCTCTGGCCTTGCTGTCCCTGGCAGGCATGTGGCTGAGCACGACAAGGAGGTGCAGCAGCTCTGCGAGGCCCTGGAGCAGAAGGTCCAGCAGGAGCAGCAGCGGCTGGAGCAGGAGGTGGATCACCAGCTGCTTCTCTCCCGTTGCTACCCACCCTGGGAGGGGACCCAGCACCCCCAACCCCCTGTGGCAGCTCCCAGATGGGCGAGTGGGTGCAAACATCCTTGTTGCCATCCCAGAGCGTGGCCCGGAGCCACCAGCATGGTGTGGAGCTGCAGCAAGCACTGGATGCCAGCGAGAGGGAGGTGCAGCGCTTGGTCATGGCACAGATGGAGGTGAGCTGGCCCCAGCCCCTGCTCCCTCACCGTGCACGTGGGGTCTCTGGGCTGTGCCTGTAGCAGTAACATGGTGTTGTACACCTGATCTCAGTCTGTCCCCACCAGCCCTTGATGCAGATTGTCACACAGGACCTCCATCGCCTCTCCTTTGCCACCCCCATCCCCATGCTCCCCTCTGTCCCCAGAGCATCTAAGTTGAATTTCCCACTCTCCACCCTCAGGGGGAAAAATTCAGCCCCAGGTCTAGAGGAGATGGTTATCCATCATTCTTTGGCATGGGTCTCATGGGGGTCCTGGTGGGGTGTGAGTGTCCTGGTTGCCATCTCGCAGCTGGAGACGCGGTGCCGCAGCCTCCGCAGCATGCAGCAAGCCACCAGAACCGAAAACAGGCAGCTGGAGGAGAGCAACCGGGTGCTGGAGGACCACCTGCAGCACCTCCACCAACAGCTCCAGCAGACCCGTGAGCGCCTGCAGACTGCAAGGGCCACGATGGCTCGGGAGCATGCGGAGGAGCCCAGGTGAGTAGCTGAGTGACCGGCACCTCCCTCTGCCACCTACGTGGTTTTCTACTGGGGGTTGCAGTGGATTGGGAATGAGTTTGATGGGTCTCAGCCATCACGGTGCTGCAGTGGTCTCCACGGTGCAGATTAATGGCGGTTTGGCATGAAAAGCATCAGAAAAAAAGCCAGGACTGTCAGCACCATGCACTGAGCATGTCACTGTAGGGCAGTGCCAGTGGAGGTGGAGATGTCCCTCACCCAGAAGGACCCAGGACTGGTCCAAGGGTTGTGGGTTTTGCTGTTCTGCTCCAGCCCATCGCTGCCTCTGGGGCTGGGGACAACCCTGGGGCAGGGATGGACATGGTGAAAAGGGTGCAATTGCTATTTTGACCCCTGTGCTCTGTGTTTGCAGGGACAGAGCAGTGACAGAGCCGCCTGATGAGATGCCCCTGTCCCCACAGGTACTTCAGCTGGGTACGCAGGGATGGGATGGGATGTCTGCGCTCCAGGGCCTTGCACCATTCGGTTTGGGACTGCTGGGGAGCCCAAGAGCACGGGGTGCTTCCGCAGCAGAGGCCGTGCCTCTCCTAAAAGCTTTCTCAAACCGGGTCGGCATGGTGGCAGATGTTTGGGAGGGGAGGGGGTCAGTTCTGATATCCCCAAGATTTTGGGTGGGTATGTCTGGACACCTGCCGGAGAGCTCAGCATCATTTCATGTGGACATGCTTCCTCTCCAAGCGTTTTTCTTTCTTTTCTTCCCACCCTGTTTACTGCAGATGAGTCTGGAGAAGAGCGAGGAGTACCACTCCAAGATGTGGATCAGGCTGGGGTCCCAGAGCAACGAGCCCAAAGCCAAGAGCACCCACCAAGTGTAAGGGGTCCTGGGCAACAGCTGCAGCTTCAGCTCGTGCCCTTGACATCTGCGAGCCGGTGCCAAGCACCCAAGTCCTCCACCTTCCCCAGGCAAAACACGATATTTAGTCCTTTTAATGCTCCTTTCCCACCCACTCATCTCTCATCCCAGAGATCAGATCTCCTACCCCAGCTCGTTGCCCTGCATCAGTCCCTTGGCGCAGGCGCTGGCTGTATCTGGCCGAGAGTTGTCTTTTCATCTCCGATAATGTGAACACGGAGCCTGGGAAGAGGCACGCTTGCTTGCCAGGCAGGATATGGTCCCGGGTCTGGCTCCCTGGGTGTGCATCCCCCTTTCCCCTGTTCCCATCACTGCGTGTGTGAACCTCCGGTACACCTGGAGGGTAAATACAATTGGGTTTGGGGAGGGGTGGGGTGAGGTGGTGGAGGAGAGACCCCCCGGTACCAGCTCAAGTGGATGGGAGGGAGCTGCAGCCCGACCCAGGGGCTGGGCTGACACCCCCTCTCCCCCCATTTTCTGCCCTTTTCAGAGTTTGGGAGAGGCTGCCAGCAGAAATAAGCATTTTGGGAACCCCACCAAGAGCAAGCTCCATGGAAGAGGATGCCTTCCCAGAATTTCTGAAAGAGGAATGCTTTTCTGACCAAAGCTCTTTGCTAAGAGAGATGAATGATGCAATAGCGGCTCTGAGCAAACAGCTGAAGCCACAGGCACTGGGTGCACCCCCTGCACCCGCAGACGCTGCCCATCACCCCTGGGATGATGTTGAGCCCCAAATGGGGCCGGAGGCAGCTGCAGCCCATGGCACAACCCCCGGGGTCCTGCAAGAGACCCTCCCTGGCCAAGCTGGTCATGAGCTGTTTGAAGGAGACCTGAAAGAGGGATCAGCCACAGCTGAGCTTCACACTCCAGACATGACACAGACTGGTGCGTCCGTGGGAGCCGGGCACCGCAGAGCTCAGGAGCCGGGGGCAGAGCAGGGAGAGAGCCCAGAGGAGGCGCGGAGGATGTTATTCCTGCAAGGAAAGGGTGCTGGTGTGAAGGAGCTGATGCTAAAGGCGGCTGAGCATCCGCAAGGAGCTCTGGGAGAGAGCACAGAGGCAGGAGAGCAGGCGTTCATGGAGGTGGAGGGAGAAGGATGGAAGCAGGAAAAAACAGGTTGGGAAAAGGCACAGCTCCTGGGAGAAGCTGAGGAAGCGGCATTAAACCAGGGAGGAAATCTGGACGCAGGTCTGGGGCAACCTGAGGCTGGGAAGGCAGGTCTAGCAGCGCGATGGCAGCTTGCCACAGATGAGCTTGGCCCGGCTGCGGCTCCGGAAGAGTGTGTGCAACCCGTGGGCGCAGGGCTAGGGGAAGAGGCTGAGCCACCATCGGGGGTCTCTGAGAAACTTGAAATAAAGCCTGGAGAGCGTCTGGAGCCAGAGCCACCATCCTGGGGTGAGGTGCAAATGGGAGCAGCCCAGGGGGACGGTGTCCTCCCCGAGGTGACAGTGACTCCTGACCCCAGGACGCTGGAGGAAGAGCGCGTCGGTGCAGAGGTCCAGTCCTGGGGAGAGACCTTAGATGCCGACGTGTGGCCAGGCCCAGCTCAGCATGGAGGGAGCAGCGGAGCCGGGGCCGAGGAAGGGGAGGTGGAGGTAACGCAGCCCAGGGAGGCAGAGCCGCAGCCGCAGGGTGAGTCTGCGAGGGGAGACACGGCGTGGGGAGGGAGCACGGGTGCAGCGGTGCTGCCGCCACCCACCAACGTGCAGGAAGGCGGAGCGGGAACAGATGTGCAACCGCTGGAGGCCCAGAGCAGTGATGCCAACGTGCAGCTGCTTGCACAGGTGGAGGCAGCTCTGCAGCCCCTGAGTGAGGCTGGCTCCCTGGGGACAGAGCAAGGAGGGAGGGTGGCTCCAGGTGTGCAACCACTGGAGGAGGGTGATAAACCAGAGTTAGGGCTGGAGGAAGAAATGGGTGCTCCTGTGGTACATGGTGAGGGTCCTTCCCCAGCAGAAACACCTGCGGGGAGCCAAGACCTGTGTGGACTGTTACAAGTTAAGGCTCAGGCACTGGAACTGGTGGAGGCAGAGGATGCCCAGGCAGGCACACAGCTGCATGTGGGTTCCAGCCCAGAAACGCTGCAGGGGGGGGGGGGTCGTGCAGCCATGGAGCTCGGGGAGGAGGCTGAGGATGGGGCACAAGGGCAGGGTGAGCAAGAGCTTCCACATGAGCCTGGGCTTCTCTCCCATGGTATGGCCATCAGGCAGGGAGAGGGGGCTGCTGCAGATGTGCAGCCATGGGAGGAGGCTGAAATCCTGGATGTGCTGGAGGACCAGAGCAGCGATGCCAATGTGCAGGTGCTTGCAGAGGAGGACAAGCTCAAACTGGCCCTAGAGGGGAACACTGAGACAGATCTGCAGCTCTCGAGTGAGGTCAGCTCCCTGGATACTGAGCAGGGAGGGAGCGTGGCTCTAGTGAAAACGGAAGCAGAGGATGCCCAGGCAGACACACAGCTGCATGAGGGTTCCAGCCCAGAAACACCCCAGGGAGGGGAGGGTCATGCAGCCATGGAGCTCGTGGAGGAGGCTGAGGATGGGGCACAAGGGCAGGGTGAGCAAGAGCTGCCACCTGAGCCTGGGCTTGATCCACAGGGAGCAGGAGTCAGGCAGGGAGAGGGGGCTGCTGCAGATGTGCAGCCATGGGAGGAGGCTGGAAGCCTGGTCATGCTGGAGGACTGGAGCGCTGGTGCAAGCATGCAGCCATTTACAGAGGCAGAGGAGCTTAAATCAACCTTGGGAGGGAGCAGAGAGGCAGATCTGTCACCCCTGGGCGCAGCTGGTATGCGGGAAGGGGAGCAGAGCCAGACTCCTGGCTTGGAGGCAGGTCTGTGGGCAGCTCACGCCGCAGACCTGTGGGAGTGGGCTGCTGGTGCACGTGTGTCCCCTCCAGCTGAGGCTGCTTTACATCCTGAGCGTGCCGCTGCTGCCGAGGGTCCTGGTCTGGAAGCAATGGTGGGAGCACTCACTGGTCCAGTTGGGCAGATCCTGGAGGATACCCAGACACTGGAAATACCTCGGGGACAGAGGGCTGATGCAGAGGAGAAGCCTTTGGATGGAGCTCAAGGCCTGGAAGTGGTACATGGAGAGAGGCTGGAGACAGGGGTGAGGATTTTAGTTGAAACCCAGAGTCTAGGCATAAAGCAGGGCCATGATGACAATGCATCTGTGCTGGCCCCCCCGGTCTCCGAGGTGACATTGCAAATCAGCACACTAAAGCTGGAAACGATGATGCAGGAGGATGTTCTCGTTCCAGATGTGCAGCGGCTAGGTGCTTTGGGACAGGAAGCCCAAACTGAGCTTCAGGAGCAGGTCTCAGCACAGACAGATAAGGTGAGACTTCACGCTGCTTCCCAACAGCTGGAGGAGAAGCCGCCACACATGATGGAAACGGAGCGGGTAGCTGCTGGACCTGCCAAGCCTCCAAAACAAGAGGTGCCACCAGTGTCAACCCATCACACAAGGGTCCAACAGGATGAAGATGCTGGGAACAATCAGTCGGGGATGGTCCTCAGAGACAGCTCACTGGGGGATGCAGCCAACGGCAGCATGCAGCCTCAAAGGCAGCTCTTGGGAGAACAGGGCGAAAACCTCAATGTTGGTCAACAGGAGAAGCAGCAAGAGGTTGGGTGGAAAATGAGCCAGGATGGCAAGCCCAGCCCAGGAGAGCCAGGGGCCATGACTGCAGATGGGGCAGGAGCTGTCCCAAGGGGTTCTTCTGAAGCCTCCCTGGACCCAGACCACATCTACAACGTGCTGTTCATTGGGGACTCGCACGTGGGCAAAACATCATTCCTGTACCGGTTGCATGCCAACGCCTTCAACCCGCACCTCAACGCCACAATAGGTAGGTCTCCTCCAGCTCCTGTCCAGCACAGCTCTGCACCTGCTTGGGTCACCTTCACAATTCTCCACCCCACAAGCTGCTGGTGATCGCTTACATGCATGTTACAGCTCACGCCAAGCATGCTGTACAACCTGCCACCAAGGACCAAGTAGGATGACCAACTTCACGCTCCTGGATGCTCAAAAGCAGGCAATGCAGGTCCTCCTTGCCCTCTCAAGGGCACCAATACCAATGGCCCTAGTGCTTTTCTCTCTGCTTTGCCTTTCAGCTCTATTTTCCTCTCTTAAGCAACCTGGTTTTATTCATCATGAAATTAGAGACCTTCCCAAAAATCCAGCCATTAAAGATCTAAAAGCCAGAGGTTCCCTTGGGACCAGCCCCTTTCAGCTGCAACCTTAGACCACACCTGCACCATATGCCTTCTCCATCCATCCTCTGTTGCAGGGGTGAAATCTACAGTATCAAAAGATCCCTTTTTGTGTCTCCTAGGACTGGATTATTGGTTCAAAAATGTTGTCGTGGACAACAAGCACTTTTCTCTCCGCCTTTGGGACTCAGCTGGTCAAGAAAGGTAAGGTGCTGTGCCCTCTGCTTAAGGAGAGCAACCTGTGGGTGGCTTTTTTTTTTTTCTGGTAGTTTAGTGGAAATGAATGTTCTTGGCTTTGCTAAGCAAAGGAGGGATTGTTTAGGAAGGGACTTTGTACGGTGTGTGATCTGATAAAGAATAATAAAGGAAGTAATTAAGATAAAAATAAGCACTCAGGCTGTTTGTACAGCCTCTGTGATCAGGGCAGGAGCAAAATCTGAGTTTTGCCTTTTTTGTAGACGTGCATTTCCAGCTTTCCCACTGGGATTTCAGATAGCTTCTAGGCAAAACCTCCTTAGACCTTATCTGTGACCATTTAAAATGTACACAGGTACCACAGCATCACCAAGCAGTTCTTCCGGAAGGCAGACGGGGTCGTGCTGATGTATGATATCACATCGGAGTATTCCTTCTCAGACGTGCAGTATTGGCTGAGCTGCATCCAGGTGGGAGAAGTAGGAAAACCTCGTTCTGTCCCCAAAGTCTGGGAACTGGCAGTGACTCAGAGATCAGCATTTCCCCACCTGACCTAA